CTCTCTCTCTCTCTCTCTCTCTCTCTCTCTCTCTCTCTCTCTCTCTCTACCTCTCTCTCTCTGCAAGTTCATAATAGTCCATACTTTAGCCTCAAGCTTCTTTATGGCGGGATATTTCTTTTTGTTTCTTTCGGATCAGATCTAGATCAGTGATAATAACACCATAGAAACGACCACACACTATTAAGGTAACACCTGATAAGGCCAAGAACATGCTAGCTACGGCGATATTAATGTGATATTCTGTTAGAATACACCATGATATTCTAGTGTGTGAAATTGCAACATTGCTGGTATTTCCGGATATCCGGATTAAACAAGAGTTCAGAGGTAGTACAAACCCTTGCAGCAGCTTAACCTTAACGTATTTTAGACCCCCCCTCTCCGAAAATCACATGAATTGATATAGATTTGCATTTCCTTATCACATCACGCACCAAATGGTGAAAACATTAAATATTTCTCTATCTTAAAATTACAAGCTAGACGCAAATAGGGTCACCAAGGCAATCATGTGGGGTCGTATGGTGGAACGACAGAGGGTTCGACTAGGAACCAAGAGGTCCCAAGTTCGAATACTGCCATGCCACCGATCTTGTGCTTTCGGGAAAGGCCCTTTACACGAATTTCCTCACTTCACTCAGGTGAAAATAAGTATGTCTGTTGTCCGTGCTTGGAAAAACTTGACTGTGCCTGCTATTTCTTGTAATAAATGTTGGAATGAAAAAAAGTCAATCATGATTTTTTACGCCGTAACCGCTCTTTTGATCGTCAGCGTTGTTTTGAAAGCTGATACGACCTCAGCTACAATTACCTGTGCTACCGCCAACAAAGTGTACGTTTACGTTTCACGGTAGACGTTCGACATCGGAAATTAAGAAATCCTTCTATACTACACTAAGCTGCAGCTGTATTGGTATTTTTCTGCCCTGAGGAAATACAAGAGACATTACCAAAATGACAACGAAGTTCGAATTCCGGCTCTCTTTTGCTCTGTCTAAAAATTAAAAAAAAAGTAACAGAAAAGACACAGGACAAAGCGGGGTCAAACTCTTTTGAAGCACACCAAACAAGGTTCCTCAACTCAAGTGCCCAACCTACCAGGAACAATCTTTTTCTCATTTACAAACACTTAGCTCGCTGCTTGGAATAAACAACAACTAAAACCACACAAGCTCGGGTCAACAAACTAAGCCGTATAAGCTCACTGTGTCGGATTGGAAACTCTTGTTCTTTCACACGCAGATTTGTATAAGATTTTCCTTGAGGCTATAGGTTCAGTTTCACAGAAATATTCACTTCAGATATACTAACGACTTTGTTACCTTTGTACATGCACCGTTACCTGGTATGATTGATGAACTGACCATAGTTTAGTGGGAGGGGCAGAAACTAGCCATATCTGATAATCATTAAAAACTAGCCTGGTCGGGGCAGGCTGTCTTCGGGGCTGTAATAGTTTTCCCCCGTCCAGCTCAACAGGCCACCCGGTATGATAGGGGCTTTGCTATTAGAGTTTTGTTCGCCTGGAGTTGAACTCTCGTCGTACAAAACCTACCGGGGAAACTAGCTGAGTCGGGTGGGGAAGAGCTCCTGCAGCCCCGAAGAGAACCCATACCAACTGCGATAAACTGGATACCATTCTGATTAAAAACCAACCCTACGCCCCTCTCCAAGTACAACAGTACTTACCCAATGCTCTCATGTACGCATCGAAGTTCTCGTTTTTAACTTGGTTCCAAGTTCCGTTCAAATCGGGTCTCGACATGGTGGCTGCTGTTCCGAAATTCTCCTCAGTCTTTCCTTGGTATAAAAAGTTTGCTTGGAGTGTAAAAATCTTTCACGGCGCTCCGTATCAGCTGTACAGGCCTGCGTTGTTTGACGACGGCGTCAGCTTTGTTTACGTTATAAAAGTGACCCTTGAGCTGAGAAGGCCACGTGACACCTACGTGGTCTCATGTATCGTAGTTAGTTATTTAAAGCCCCCGCCGCAAGCATATTTACTACCGTGATACTGTTATATTGTTCCCAATAGCTGTGTGCTACAAAAGCATATGTTAGTACTGTGATCTAGGAGGAATCGAAGATGAGAAACATTTAATGTAAACTATACCACAAAGAGAGAGCAGATCTTTATAATCTGATACAATCTATGTTCCGGATCCCCTTCTTTATACATCTAAGCTGTACAGATAAATTTGTATTTCTAATGAGCTTAGACAAACCTTCTGTATTGAAACATATCTGTTCTTACATTTTTTTCCATTACTAAGAAACGAGAAGAAACCGAATTTACTTGATTGTAGCTACCTAACGATGTATATATGTAACGTTATCTGTATTCCATCCTTTTTTGTGACCTGTGCTTAACCCAGTGGGTATGTGTGTACAATAAAGGTCGTCATTCATTCATTCATTCATTGTCTCTTTGCGTCAAACATTCACGGCCTTCCCCCGAATGTGTTGTCGAATGCCGGTAACAGCTGGCGTTCTGGAGCACTCCTGGAGGCCACGCCTGCTTTTGTAAACAAATCGAAACGAATTTGGGTTAAATTTGAGTCAAATTTTACCCCAGAACAACTTACAGCCGAACACCAGCCAACCATCGTCGAACCTCCCGTGGTGTTCGGCTAGTATTTGGGAGGCCAAAATTTGAATCCCGAACACTAGCCGAACGCCCGCCAACCATGGATAGGTCTTCGCAAAGTCGGCTGATGTTTGGCAAAAGGTCGGCTACTATTCGGCTGAAAAATTCGCCTGGTTTCAAAATGTTTTAAAACTTTTGGGGGTTGGTCGGGAGGTTTTCGTTTTATATATATTCCAACATCTAATCACAAGACGTGGTGACGGCACACTCAAGTTTTTTCAACTTATATTAATGCCGCCACCAACACATGGGACAAATACATGACAGGACAATACTCATTTTCATCTGAGTCTAGTGAGGAAAGTCGTGTAAAGTGCCTTTCCCAAGGACACAAGGTCGGTGGCATGTCAGGACTCGAACCCGGGACCTCTTGGTTCCGAGTCGAGTACTCTGCCTGTACGCCACACGACGCCACGTCGAGAGGTTCGATTATGGTTGGCTGGTGTTCGGCTGTACGTAAGTTGTTCGGGGGTAAAATTTGACTCAAATTTAACCCAAATTCCTTTCGATTTGTTTAGAAAAGCAGGAGTGCTCCAGAACGTCAGCCGGATTTGGTCGGCTGGAACCGGTGTTCGACAACAAATTCGGGGGAAGGTCGTGAATGTGTGACAGAGACAATGCTTTTGTAGCACACAGCTGTTGGCAACAATATAACAGTACCACGGTAGTAATTAATCTGACAGTACTAGTGGCACAGTGAATGGACGTCTGGTATCAAAATCCAAGCCTTTTCAAAAATTTAGGACACTTAAGAAGGTTTATTGTGCTAAAGGGTGGTAATGTTACATTCTGTCAGTAAAATGCCCTGTTGAGTTACATGCTTGTTGACTGGGTATAACAATAAGATGCGCCAGGTGGCGGTATAGTGGATTGCTTGTGCCAGAACCAAGAATACGATTTATTTTACAGTATACAAAGTGTTGAAGTTCTTATAATTTGACACAATGTTTATCATTAGCAAAATTGTTTGATATTGTATGCCATTGTGTGTGCAATCTTTTCAAGAAATGATTTTTTTGTAAAATGGTCGCAAAATGCTAATCTCCAAACAGATCATACGGCGGTATCCATCGTCCATTAGCCACACTAGCTATAAGTTTGGTTTATTGGCCAAACATCACCCGTGCAACCGCAGCATTATAGTGCTGAATTGATGCAGGGTTTAAAATCAGATGATACAAATGGTAATAATACATAATAATATACATAATACACATGATACATATTTGTTCTATATTTTTTGTGGAACTGCCGCAAGGGTCTGTGCGGATGCCATTCGGCGCCACAAGGTGACCTCAATACGACTTTCCCCAACCGAAGTTAGGTACCCATTCACACCTGGGTGGAGTGAGGAAGGTCCTTTCATGTCCTACTCAGATATCGGTGTACGTTGGAAAATTCATATCTGAATCACTACAAAAGCGACACCAGATAATGGTCTCTGTGTGGTTCAAGGTAAAGCCAGTAAAAGAAATAGAGCAGGTAAATGATATACCATCACAACTCTTGTGGAATAATGTGTGCATTATGTATAAAGGAAGAATATTGTACTACCGTAATTGGATCAACAAAAATATCATGTATGTTAATGACGTTATTGATTGTTATGGCAATGTTATATCTTTTAATGATGTTGAGAGCATTGTGGGGAAGTACCCAAATTTAATCTTACAATATAATGCTCTGGTAAACGCCATTCCAACTAAATGGAGAGTGTCATATGATTTTGACGGAGTACATAAAATCAAGTTATTTGAAAAAGAGGTAAAAGTTCAAACTAATAGTTTCTTTAGAAATATACTAATCTTACAAAAAGCAGCAAAACCTATCTCTCAAGGTTTCTGGGAGTCACGCCTTCCACATTTTGATTTCCATATTAACACATGGAAGTCCATATGGGAAGCACCTTTTCGAATCACTAAAGAACCAAAATTGAGATCATTACAATGGAAGATTCTACACAATATTTATCCAACAAGAGTTAGTTTATGTAAACAAGGAATAGTAGCAAACAATAGATGTATTGTATGTGATTCTGTCGAATATATAGAACATTTCTTTTTTGATTGTGCACTTGTTAAACCTTTATGGGCAGAAGTTGAAAAGAGTTTTCTCTCCGAATATGGATATACATTGACGTTAACCACTCAAGATGTTATTCTTGGATATCACCTTCCTAATGTAAAGCAATTTTTATACATCAATGAACTAATATTGCTGGGAAAAAGCACAATTTCTAAGTTTAAGTATGGTACGAATTGTATGGACATTGTTACACAGTTTAATTTTGAACGTTCATTAAGGAACTTATTTTAAACATTGGGTGTAAAACTACAAGATATAGTGGAAAATGTGTATTAATTAACTATTCCTTCATTCTTTGTACAGCTATGAATACATTTTTGTTATATTACATTCGATGTTATTTATAAGACTAGGAAAGTTGACAGAATTGTATACGATGGCATACATGCCTCAGATCGCAAATGTTCCACGAACTGTTGAATAAAGCACAATTAAAACTGGAAAAAAAAAAAAAAGCGACACCAGATTGTAAATAGCTGATATATCCCCTGAATTACAGAATGTAACAATACTCTTCCTAAGAAAACACAATAGATTAGCTTTAGTATCATTATGGACTAGCTAGTTAGAATTATATCTTAGTATTAGTTTATGTATGTACCATTGTTGTTTCTTTGCCATACATTGTACCAGCTACAGTTGTTGAGCAATAAAGTTGATTTGATTTGGTAAAGTGCCTTTCCCAAGGGCATAACGTCGGCCTCATGCCCAAACATGTCCCGGGTACAGCTCGGAATCGAACCCGGGTCTCCCCGCTTCATAGTCGAATGATCTACCACTACGCCACCCGACGCCACTATAGGTGCATACTGCCAATGGATACTGCCTTGCCACCGTATGATCTCTTTGGTGCAACATTTGTATGGGCGTCTGGTATCAAAAGTTACATATTCTACCGTTAACAGACAATTGTTTGTATCTACCCTTTTCTATTTCTAATGTGTGTGCGCTAACTCTAAGCTTACATATGGCTGATCTAATATCGAAGTTCTTAATAAGCTGAATTTATTGTACAAAGGGTGATGATGTTAACGTTACATCCTGCCATTAAGTTGTGCATACTGCTAGCAACATGTTTGAAATGGACAGACAACACAAGCGGAAAGAAGTGCAGCACCAAGGACAGAAGCATAACGGACCATAATCAACCACCCCACCTGTCGGATTTGTTATGAATAACAGGTCGTAGAATGATTCCAGCATTTGTAGGACCTCTTCTACCTTTTTGGGATATCTCTAGAACATGTATTGTACAAATACAATTTGATGATACATATTTCCGGTTATACCACTGAGAGATATAATTGACATACTTTCGTTGCCTCTTCTCTAGTTTTCGTGTTTTATTTTGTAAAAACGGTTTGCATAAAAAGTAGTAAAAAAAAACACAACATACTCATGGCTTTGTACATTCATGTACAAATATTTTGAACGTACAGCTTCTTGAAATTTTTACCCAATATCGTCTACAACAACAACAACAAAACTTACCGTGGGTCCGTGAACCAGGAAACAGAATTACCCCGGCCCTGCGTGCCAGTGCGCATGTGTAGTTATTGATCCAAAATGGCGGTGGAACACAAACACAGACTTCGGGTCCAAACGTCACTTTTACCGTCATAGGAGCACAACAGACGGCCATGTACCGCTAACAACGGGCACAAACTCCTAACGGTAAGGACGCTTTCCTTTCCTTTAATCTGTTCCCCGATTTCCCGTATCCAGGGCTAGGAAAAGGCTAAAGTTTCCTGGTTACGTGGACCGCTATGTACAGTACACTGCTTTGTTACATATAGCGGGACACTGTGACTTTTTTTCAAGGCCAGATTTCTTTGTACAGGTGTTCAATTCGGAGGGTATGAAAGTTTATATTTCTGGATACATTTCTTTATCTATTAAAATAACGAAATATTTGCGTATGTAGATTTTGTGGCATAATATTTATGAATTATTTATGGATGTTGACGTTTTCGAAATGATTTTTTAAAATTTATTATGATTTTCTATGTTGTATGTTGAAATTGAGTGGTGACTCATGATGACGTCACGTTTATCTGGAAGTTATTGTAGTTGGTGTGAAATTTGTTTGTTCGTTTTATATAGAATTATATGTTTAGCCAGTAAACAAAAGCAATTAAGTCCAATTAAAGTTTAAAAGTGTTGTTTCATGAATTAGTATGTATTTGCAATTCAGGGCTCGAAATTCATTTTTGGGAATAGGTGCACTGGTGCACCCAACCTAAAAAATTGGGTGCACAAAAAAAATTGGGGTGCACCATATCAAACAAAACCTAATTACAGATCTTACTGCTCCACTTCTGAGCTTGAATCTGAAATGGGAGCTAACTTCAAAATCTTAAGTGCTACAACAAAGATTTTAATATTTTCTGACAGTTAGATGACATGAATATCCTGTATACTACATGTATGTTACATTTAATATGTACAAAAATACGTACAAAAATATTTGGGTGCACTCAGGTGCACCCACAGAATAAAATTGGGTGCACAGCTCTAAATTTTTCGAGCCCTGCACTTGCAGTAAGCTTGATCATACCTTAAAATGTCGTTTAAATGAGATAGAAATAGATCCGAAAGTTTGCACATGGTCATTCCCATGTCTAAAAATGGGAATCTTTTAGTTCAAGGTTGTTAGATAAAGGTTTAAATTTAGTCCAAGGTAAGATAAAAAATACAATAGTATGTAAACCTGATACTTTTACCTTCAGGCGATGCTGTATACCTATATATAGGGAAGTGAAATGTCATTTGTAATTTACATGGAATCAACAATAGTATATTTCAGCTGTTTTCTATGATAAGTGAAGAAGCCATATTTGATTTAATATATGGATGACATCCTCTGGGAACCCCAAAACTGATGCGAGCGTGCGAATAAAAAATAAAGTTGCCTTCATTATAAAATCTACATGGTCATGAAGGTTGAACAAATCACTTAACACACATGAGTATGGTATGGTTAATCAAATATTTAGTTTATATAATTAGACTCTTTATTTTCATTTCTTGACTTTTTCTGAATTTTTTCCTTTGGAATTAGCTTTGGCATGACAACTAGTATTGTTTTCTAAAATTTTTCACAATCTATGGCATATAATTTGCTCATTTTGCAGCTGCTTTGTACAATTAACAGTATGGTCGAAAATCTGTCTTTAAAATGGACAAAAATTTGTACACTGTACACATGCAGAATATTGTTATCCATATACATGGGCAAAGTTGGGAAACAGAAAAAAATTGGTTTATTTTCATTTTCCTAACACATCCTGATACCTTATTAAGGATTTATTAAAATGAAAATGATTAATGAAAGGTCATGCCAAGATTATTTTTTAATTAGACTCTGATGTTAGTAAATTGTGCTAGCTAATGATAATGGCTTTAGACTAGAGAATAAATTGCTACTTAACGAATAATTTTCGATCATTAAATGCACGCTGGAAGTGGTTCCTGTTTCTGGTGCCACTTGACTGCTGAGTACATGTGAATGACCTTGTTGTATGATCACATCCTGTTACCTTATTCCCACACAAAACTCTCAACATTTAAAATACAGATTAACTACTTTGTAAACACTACTTATAATAAATACTACACGTACTTACTAAAAGTACAACTAACTAAAAAAGTGTATGTCAAAAGCGGTGAAAGATGAAATACATTTTATCTCCAGCATGCCCCTTTAACGATCAGGAAAGAAACAAGCCACCGAAACCATATAACTTCCAAACATACTGTACATGTATGTGAAGTTAATTTATGCTATCATAGTTTTCTTTCCTCAAAGTTGAACTGTTTTGAATATCAATTCAAGTATAAAAATATAATGACCTAATTTCCTTGCGCTGAACATGATTGTGTAAAATAATTTGATATCTTGTTTCCAAGCTTGACAGAAAGTGATAAAAACCATTGTATTGTAATGTTAGGTAACTCAACTTTTGGAGACAAAATACAAGACCTTATTCCTAAAGTTGTGTTGGGTGCTTCTGAGATTTTTTGCTCGAACGGAACAAAAATCTTAGTAAACAGCTTTTCACAGCCAAAGGGCAGAAAATCCTCACTCAGAAATCTTCAAACAAAGCAATAATCTACAATCTTATCAATGAAATTGGATCCACCATTTTTTTGCACACAAAAGACAGACTATAGGCCCAAGGCTGGCTCTTTCAGTCTTTGTCTTGTGCCCCATTACGTTAGACTTTACCCTTTCAACACACTATTTGTACATGTTGAGGTCACAGCTAGAAAAAACACTGATGTTTACTGTTAATGTTTAATGTTGGATCGCAAGGCACTCGTCAATATGTATAGCCTATGTTGGTGAATTCATAGACCATATTAAAAGAAGAACCTGAGTGTATATCTCTTGATATTTAGTATAGGAAGGTACTAACAAGGATAATGTCCTTGGTACTACAATGTAGTAAATTTTTTTGTGTAAACTGTTGGGATTGTATTAGAAGTTACCCCAGTAAAAGGTACATTGAAGAATAAAAGGTCAAATCACTCAAGGCCTCATCTGTCGATGATATTTTTGACGGCATTAATACAAATTGGATAAACAGGGCTCAAAATACTTTTATTTTGATCATCCGTGCAGGATAGCTGCAGGTATACATCAGAAATACCTGCACAGTTCATATAATCCAGTACAGGTTACATTGTAGGATCAGGTAGACATCAGAAATACCTGCACAGCTCCAATTTGACCAGCATATGCACCCTGAGTATTTCGAAATTCAAGCCCTGATGAATTTTTTCCAGACAAACATTTTAAAATGGAAAAAATAGTGCCTGGAGGCCAGGCTTATAATCACCACAGTACACACATTTTTAGGACCCCAGAGTAAATATAGTCGGATTCAAGTTTTCCTTCTACGTTCCAGCCCCAAGGCCCAGTACAGTACATGGTACCTAGCCTCTACCACTGTACCAGGCTTCGGGAGGCAGCTGGAAAGAGAGAGATAACATGCCGAGGGAGTTGGTCTACTAGAGGCAAAATGTACTCTCTAGCGGACCAACTCCCCTGGCATATTATCTCTCTATTTGGCCAATTTCTACTCTTTCCAGCTCCTACCCAAGCCTGATAGAGGCTACATGGTACCCACAATTTTTCCTCTGTAGCTAGCTAGTATAGGGGCCTGCCGAGCTGTTTCTCAGAAAGAGGGCATCGCCCTGTATTCTCTAGAAGCCATGGCTAGGTCTATGCATGAAGCAGCGGGACACCATTCACATGCATTATTATTCCTCCAAGTTGAATCCTTATTCCCTGTTTGTTGACGGTTTTCCCATTGTGTGTGTGCTCGGCTGGAGGGCACTGACAGGCTGTTACTAATCACTTTAACCACGGCTGTTTGCGGAGGCTGAATTCCGGTAGCTGCCTGCTGTTTCATGCCGTCCCCGGGGAGTTTCCAAGCATAGAAATCCCAATCCTCTTTACTGATAATTCTCAGATGTCAGCTGGTGCTTTTAACCGATACCAAATATCAATAGAGGTCCTCCTATTAACCAGAATACACAGAAATACACCGGAATACACACAAAGAAGGGTCTACTAGCCAGAATGCACCCTGCTTTGATGAGTCAATTATATCACATATTGTTACATATTTTGGCATGAAATAATGTATAATGGGTAGATGGCCCTGGGAATAAGAAATCAGGGTGTAGTCTTGTACATTTCACCATCCTTTATGTATATTCCAGTGTATTCCAGTTTCATCATCATCATCATCATTCATCCTCCGTAGAGGTGGAGCATACAAAGTTAGTTCGCCACAACTGTCTGTCATACATCACTGAGAAAAGTTCATGTCCCTCCAAGCCAGTTTCAGTTTCAATAAGTTTCTTAACTGTTATGTTTGGGCGTCCAACTCTATTCCAGTTTATTGTAGTTTATTCCGGTAAATAGACGTCAGACCCATCAATCAATACTTAGTAATTACTAATACATCTGGAATGAAGGTAGTTACTTAGTATCTCCATGAAATTGAAGGTATTATTTTTGGTGTGTCTGTTTGTGTTTTGGGGCATTTGTGGTCAGCATAACTTTAAATAATCAGGATACAATGTAGCTTGTTATGATATTCGGTATGTGGGGAGGTCTTAGGAGGATGAAGTTCAGGGTTGATTTTGGCCCTCCTGGCAGCTGTCCTTGGTACTGCAGAACTTTCTGTATCTTCTGTCCCAGATATGCTCTGGCCTCATTTTTATTGTGAAATATTTTGCACTGGCATGATACTACTGTACTACGTATTCTTTTTCTCACACGTTGGACTGAAAGTTTTCTTGTTTGTTCATTACATGTACAATCAGGCCACACCAATTTAATTTCTTGGTTAACGGATTTTTCTAGAAAAATAATGAAGCGGGCGGGCGAAAAAATTAAAAAATAAAAGCAGGCCTATAGGCATCCCAACATGGCCAAAAATGGTACGATAGGAGCCATGAAGTCAACACACCAGCAGGCTGGTTCAAAATTTAAAGAATGAATTTTGAACTTTTAATGATACCACTGCATTGAAAGATGGAATAACTGTAACAACTAGGAAGAAAAGGACTGTTTTCAACTGTTCAGGGCAAAATATGAGCATTTTGCAGTTGATTCTGATTTTTTTTTTTTTTTGCAAATCAGAAAAAACTGCGGGCGA